AGTGAGAGAGTTAGGCAGTGAGAGAGTGAGAATGAGACAGTGAGAGAGTGAGAATGAGACAGAGAGTGAGAATGAGACAGTGAGTGAGTGAGAGTGAGACAGTGAGAGAGTGAGAATGAGACAGTGAGTGAGTGAGAATGAGACAGAGAGAGTGAGTCAGTGAGAGAGTGAGTCGGTGAGAGCGTGAGTGAGTGAGTCAGTGAGCGAGTGAGTCAGTCAGTGAGTGAGTCATTGAGCGAGTGAGTGAGTCAGTGAGTGAAAGACAGTGGGAGAGTGAGTCAGTGAGAGAGTGAGGCAGTGAGAGAGTGAGAATGAGAGTGAGAGAGTGAGGCAGTGAGAGAGTGAGAATGAGAGTGAGAGAGTGAGGCAGTGAGAGAGTGAGAATGAGGCAGTGAGAGAGTGAGAATGAGACAGTGAGAGAGTGAGAATGAGACAGTGAGAGTGAGAATGAGACAGTGAGAGAGTGAGAATGAGACAGAGAGTGAGACAGTGAGAGAATGAGACAGTGAGTGAGTGAGGCAGTGAGAGAGTGAGACAGTGAGAGAGTGAGGCAGTTAGAGAGTGAGAGAGTGAGGCAGTGAGAGAGTGAGTCAGTGAGTGAGTGAGTCAGTGAGAGAGTGAGGCAGTGAGGCAGTGAGTGAGTCAGTGAGTCAGTGAGAGAGTGAGAGACTGAGTGAGTGAGGCAGTGAGAGAGTGAGGCAGTCCATTCCATCATTTTTAATAACAGAATAGTGTGTGGTATGAAAGTACAATACTTTACTTCATCCTTTTCTTACTGTTGTAGATTTTAAGTTCCTAATTTTTTTTTTGAAGTGATACTGTCAGGAGTATTGAAATCTATATTTGAGCCTCTATTTTAAATCTAGGTTTTGATTTTTTCTTTTGAATTTATGTGCTTGTTCTTAAGTTAATCAGCTGAAAGCATGATCCTTTTATGGTGGTAGTGGTAGTGCTAAATTAAAATTACTTAGAATTTTTTTTAACCTGGCGAACCTGACTTCGTTTTATACTTTTACCTAATGGGCTTGCTCATGCTTTTCAGCCATAAAGTAACTAGATTTTGTGATATGCTGATTCTTGCATATCTAACCTTATAAAAGAATCCATAAGAGGCTTATGGTTACCGAATTTAAACCAGTTCATGAGACCCTATTGTTTTTATTAAAAGAGTGAACTACTATTATGTAAGCATAACCCGAGACTTCATTCTCATTCCAGCGGGTCCTCCTCGCCCTGGTATGATGCCAGCACCCCACATGGGGGGACCACCCATGATGCCAATGATGGGCCCTCCTCCTCCTGGAATGATGCCAGTGGGACCCGGTATGTTTGAATTTCTTACCGCTAATATGCTTGGTGTTAAGGTTTTTCCAGTGAAATGGAATTTTTACTTGTTGAAATTGTTGCTGCAGCCAATGAAGTTTGAGGAGATTTTAATGATTCAGAAGACTTCAGTTACCAGTTTAATTGGATGAAAGGCGCCGTGATGGTGCCGTGGGTTAAGAGTTGGCCTGACGCCACGATATTAGACTCCTGATGTATCTACAGAATCTATGAGGCACTGTGGTCTCTGTCTTTTATGATCATCTTGCCTGTCAAATTTGTGAATATTATTTTTGGATTTTTTTGCTTAAATTTTTAAATTATCAACTTAGCTTTCATAGAAACAATGATCTTTTCACCTTCATATTTTTATTGACTTGTAGAATAGTTTCATTATATAATAAATAGTATTAGTACAACTGATATAACCAGGTTTGGGAACAGTTGTAACTGAAGTCTACAACTCAACTGGTAGGTCAATGATAATACTGATAATGATAATATTGTGGGGTTTTTTCATAGAAATTGAGCAGTGGGGGCCAAAGGTAGGAACGGGTGGGTATATAAAATTGGCTATGAACTGGATAATGGTTGATGATTGATGATGGGTAAATGGATGCTTGTTACATATTTTTTCCTACTCTGTGTACAAGCTTTAAAAACAAAAGTTAAAAGTAGTCTATCCATTTATGTGGAATGAAAGCACTTTTCAGGTGGCTAGATTTTAATCTTTGGTCTCGATCAGTGCTTGAATAAGGTGCTTTTCAGTATGGGGCTCTGTGTGGGACTTAGAACCTTAGTGCTGCTCTCAATCTTGTTGAAATTGATCTGCTCTTCTTGGATTCTGTGCCTTTGCACAGAATACTTGTGGATCACTGCTGATACAGCTGTATGTTCAACTTTGCTTAATGTTTTCTCTTCAACCATTCCCTGGAAAGCTTTAGCCAAAAATTTAGGTAAAATTTTGTATTTAAAAGAAGGTATGCATAGCATGAAAGTGATGAGGCGTAATTATAAAATGAATTACCCACAAACCAGCTGAAGAAGTGGAACATTGTCCAACTCCACATTGAAATTCTTCTCAACATCCACCCGTCTGTCTTCCCTCCCTTCAGACTTACTGCTTTGACCGATTGTATTAGTCTAGGTACTTTGGAGAAACAAATCCACAGCAACTCACGTATAAGAGAGTTTTATGCAAAGAAAATGTGCATCACGAAAACATCCCAACCCAATGCTGCCCAAGCCCACAAGTCCAACATTAACCCATACCCAACACCAGTCCACAAAGTCCTCCACCTCACAAAACAGGCAATAATGCCGACTGCAGGAGGAAAGCTGAGTCAGTGAACGTGTAAGCATCTCAGCACTGGCAGGGGTCTCCACATGGCTGCTCCAGCACCCAGGGCTGCATCGGGATAGATCCATGCGGCTTCTCCTTGGGGATGTCTTGTAGGAAATCCATCTTGCAAGCTGAAGCAGGGAACTGCTAAGGCAGCTGCACCCAATGGAACCATCACAAAACAAGAGACCCGAGAACTAGAAAGGCGAGGCTTCACCACCCATTTATCCCTCCGCCTTTCAACCAGCACCACATGTGATTATCGGCCAGGCTGGCACAATTAACTAATTCACCGATATATCATCGAGACACTTTGTAAACAAGAGAATGCATTAGAAAAAACAGATGTGTGTGTCTGAAGATTGGTGTAAATCAAATGACCGTATTGCCTGTTGTTTTTCTTGACGAGGAAGTCAACAGGTTCTCAGCAAGACCCCCTTCCTCTGCTATGCCTCTGAACCAACAACGTAGTGGAAGGTTGGCCTCGGTGCCGTGCACCTTCATGAAAGGCTCTGGTCGGACGGTGGCCACGCTGATCAGAGAAACTGATGAAAAGACGTGATTGGTTGTGAATTTCCGTGACTGAGAAAGGAAGTCAGTTTAGGGAACTAGTGTCCCGGCTGATGTCTGGAAGGCGATGTAGTGGCTTCCCCTCACTATCCTTAGACCATGATCTCACATCATTCTTGTGCTGACCTCTTGCTTTTTAGATTAAGGGTTTAAGCAATTTAGAGACACGCTGAATGTGTTGCACTTATTGTCAAGTACTTTCTTCTTGTGTTTGCCGGTCAGAGGTAGAACTGCTTCTTTTGTTTTTACTTGAAGTCCAAACAAAACCATTACGCCATATTCTCTAACTCCCTTTTCTCTTTGTGTTGTCCTGCAGCTCCCGGAATGAGGCCACCCATGGGGGGCCACATGCCAATGATGCCTGGGCCCCCGATGATGCGGCCCCCAGCCCGTCCTATGATGGTGCCCACTCGGCCAGGAATGGCTCGACCAGACAGATAAGGGCGGAGCACAGCCTCTTTGTATCGCTTCCTCTTCCTCGAACCCCTTCACCCGGAGACCTGGTGCTGCGACTCTGGATGTTTTCCAACAGCACAACATGGAAGACCTGCTCCCCCCCTCTCAAAAGGAGAATCGTTTTGGAGTGGAGTAGTGGACAAAAAGCAGAACAAAACGATTTTTGTTTGTGACACGTGAAAATAAAATTAACTTTTAGTTAAACAAACATGTTCTTTTGTTCCTTTCTGTATGCTTTGTGGATTATAAAGGAGCAGCAGCGTTCCCTCGCACATTTGTCAACATGCTTTCTGCACCTGTCTTTTCCTTTGACCGTAGAAGTGCGTTCCTGTGGCACCTTGCATGAATTTAGTAAAGTTCTCTTACAAAGAACTATGGTAAATCTAATAGTACTTGTAGAGCTGATTAAATAATAAAGCACAGTTTAGCTGAATTTTGACATGGATAACATTTTATATAATGAGTGGTAAGTTTTAAGCAGGGCTTTGAACTGCCTCCCGGTTGAGTCATAGCCAACAAACCCAAATTGGGATGTACCGGAATTTGCAAAATGTGAGTACAGTGAACCCTCGTTTGTCGCGGTTAATCAGTTCTAGACCCTACCGTGATAAATGAAATTCCTCGAAGTAGGATTCCTTATTTGTAAATCAAATATTTTCGTAGTTAGAGCATAGAGGACATGAAAAAACACCCTTTAGTCACCATTACACTCGTATTACCCAATTTATTAAACTAAAAAGGGAAAATACAGTAAAACATTTTGGACGTTACAATTATCATTTATTATATTATTTCTGGCATCTAGTTTACAGTATTACATATTTCACATACAGTATTATTATACATAGTTCTTACAAGTACTGTAATCAATAGCCTATGAAATGTCTTAAGGGATGTACTCTACAGGTGGGTCGCCGTCTTTTTCCTCTGAAGGAGCAGGTGTAGGCAGTGGGTGCTGTTACGCAAAAACTGCGATAGAGTGAAGCCGCGGAAGTCGAAGTGTGAAGTGGCGAGTGTTCACTGTACCTGGAACAGTAACTGGAAATTACAGTGATGTTCTGCTAGAGACTTGTAATCTCCTGCTGAGAAGACCAGAGTGGTGTGCACACTAGAATAACCAGATCTCGACTGGCAGAATTCAGAACAGCAGTGCCTGCGTAGAGTGGTTGACCGCACTAGTGCACTGAGTTGAATGTTACTGCTGATGGCCCGCAGTAGTTTAGTCTCCAGTTCAGTCTCAGAGAAGGGTTCATTGTGACTCTTCTGTCCCAAGACTGATCTGTAATGTTCTTCAGCCCAGTTACCATTCAGGCACCCCTAGTTTGCAAACTTTGGTCCATCCTAATTTGGCCTCTGGTCATGACAACCAGAAAGCAGCAGTTCTAAGCCTGAGTTTAAGTCTTTGCTGCTAAAGTTGGAGCAAATCATTAAAACAAAATATGCCAACTCTTTGTATTTTTAAAAAAAATTTTTCATTTTATTGAGGGCTCTTAACAGCTCTTATCTATATATCAAGCACATTTGCACAAATGTTGCCATCCTTTTCAAAACATTTTCTACTTGAGCCCTTGGTATCAGTTCCCTCTTTTTCCTCCCACCCTCATGAACCCTTGATACATTATTTTCATATTTTAACACCATCCACTGTCTCTTCACCCATGTTTCTGTTCATCACCATTATGATGGGTTCCCCCATTCTCCCCACCTTCCCCCTACCCGCATGGTATCACTACTCCCATTAATGTTCCAGAGGTGTTTATGTGTCCTGCATTCCATGTATCGAGAGCTCTTAACTCTACTAGTGTACATGCTCTGATCTAGCCTGATTTGTAAGGTAGAACTGGGCTCATGATAGTGGGGCTGAGGGAGCATTAAAGAATGAGAGGAATGCTGTATGTTTCGTTGGTGCTATATTGCATCCTGGTCGGCTCATCCCTTCCTTGTGACCCTTTCTGTGAGGGGATGGCCAATTGTCTACAGATGGGCTTTGGGTCTCCACTCTGGCTCTCCTCATTTGCATTGATATGATTGTTTTGGGTCTTCTGATAACTGATCCTGTTGATACCTCATGATCACACAGACTGGTGTGCTTTCATGTGGGCTTTGTTGCTTCCCAGCTAGATGGCTGCTTGTTTATCTTAAAGCCTTTAAGTCCTCAGATGCTACATAGCTGGACACCATCAGCTTTCTTTGCCACATGTGCTTATGCACCAATTTTGTCTTCACCCATCGAGTCGGGAAGGTGAGCATCACAGAATACCAGGTTATTAGAACATAGTGTTCTTGTGTTGAGGGAGTACATATGAAATATATTTATACCTCTATAAATGTCCTTTGCCTCCTAGTTCTTTTATTTTCCTCTTGTCCCACTATCATGTTGAACCTTCAGCTTTCAGTAATTCCTCTCAGCTACACTGCACTTGATCAAGCCCCATTTTTGTATCTTTCATATTTTGAATCATTATTTTAAAAAGACAAAAATCACCCATGCCAGTTTGGAAAAGTGGCTTATAAGAGCTGCTGGAAAACATGTACCGTATATACTCGAGTATAAGCTGACCCAAATATGAGCCAAGGTACCTAATTTTACCACAAAACTGCATTAAAATGTGCTAGAGGGAGGAGGAGGGAAAGACGGAAAATGGGGAGCTGATTCCAGGAACCCAAGCGGAAAGTGAATTTTGAGAATGATGAGGGCAACGGGTGTATAGATGTGCTTTGCGTAGTTGATGTGTGTATGGATTGTGATAAGAGTTGTATGAGCCCCAATAAAACGATTTTTTTTAAATGCTGGAAAAACTCGGCTTATACACGAGTATATACGGTAACTGTGTGTATAAGACTTTTATCAAGAAACAAATGATGCTAGGCAGATTACTTTTTCTAGAAATTGATGAATATCTGATGAAGAGGGGTTAATTTAGGCAAGGAAACCACCTTGCCAAAACAAGGGACTGGAATTAGAGGTCCTACCAGAGACGATCTGTTGATAAGACTACATGTTCCTTTTCAGTTTCTCATTTAATCACATCTTTTTTTAGAGTGATAGTGGCTGACAGTCTATGTGTCTAACTTTAAAGCCCAAAGAATTCCCTGGCTCAGCTTTGTTACCAAAATATTTTGCAGACTTGAGAGTGTGTTAGGGGAAGCCTTGCCAAGTAAATGACTAAGCACGTTTCTATTCTGGATGGAGCCATCTGCATGTGTCTTTCCTGTGTGCACAGGAAGCCCTGTTACTTGGGTAGGATTCCAACACAAATTTTGGGGCGTCAATGCAGTCCCGAACACTTAAGCTACTCTGACTAGGGCCATGAAGACTTGGCTTGGTGCATCATTCTTTATGAGAACCTTAATCCATTAACTAATCAAACACATTTCTTTTCCTCCCATTTACAAGCTTAAGGATTCAATTTTTCTGGCCCGAATCTAGTAAAGCATCTAAAATACTTCATCAGACAAGGGCAAGAATAAATACTCTGAAGTGCTGTGTATTTTCTCTGAGGCATACAGGATCATTTCAAACTTGCAGAATATTTGCACGATTTTTACAAGGAACATATATCCAGGTTTACTTATTGTTTGCATTTCAACCCCTTTATTTTTAATTTGTGCCTATATGTTTCCATGTGCATTTCCTAAAAACAAGTACATTCTCTTTCTTACACGACCATAAGTATCAAACTTAGGAAATAGCTTGATTCAATCATTGAATATTTCAGTTTTGTTCATTTGCCTTTGCTTCCTGCCTGCACGAGATCCTGTCATATATTTTTTCCCCGTTGTCTTCTAATCTAGAACAGTTCCTCAGCCTTTGTGTTTTCTGACACCAACCTCACCTCCTGTTGTCCCTTGCTTCTAATTTTTTGTCCCCCTGATGTTTCCTCATGATTATATTAAGATTACACTTTATAATTGTATCTTCAGGATGTCACATCTACAGTCGGGCACCAGGTGTCCATCTGCTCCGTGATGATACAGGGACTCACACACAGCTGCAGCTAGAAGCGTAACGACCATCCACCCAGGCTCCTTTCCCGCCAAGGACTTGGCCCCTCAAGCTTGCTAACTCCATCCTTAGGTGCTAAATCACGGCCCAAGAAGCTTGCTGAAGTTCCAGACATGTCTACATTCCTGTTCAACAGGAAAGAGGAAAGCCAACAAAAAATGGTATGCTTCCTCCTGCTTCCCTGACTGACCAGAACTTACATGCTCTAAGCTATGAAGAATGTCCTATCATTGCTGATGGGTCCTGACTCTAGTTACAAATCAGTGGTTCTGTTACTACTGGGGATACTAATAGATACTGAGGTAGGCAAAATACAAGCTCTGGTGGGAGAAAGGAGCCAGGCTGCTCTGGGAAAGACTGACAGTCTTGGAGCCCCTGAGGAGCAGTTCTGCTCTGTACTATAGCATCCCGGTGAGTTGGAATCGACTAGATGGCAGAGGGTTTTTGGTTTTGTTGAGGTCCCTGATGATCAGAGCTGCCATGGACTGCCTGCTGTAGAATCCTTTTACAGGAGTGAGATTTCAGTACTTTAGAAATTGAAGTAACTCTTGAGTTTTCTACTATATGCTGTTCAATGTGACTGATTAAAGGATGCCAAGGGAGGGGGGGGGGAGAGGAGGAAGAGTTAACACCAGTGATAAACTGCTAGGAAAACTTGCCAGATAAACACGCCACTCTGACATATTGCTCCCAGTGTAGACATTGTTCGAAGGGATGGGGACAAGGTAGTTAAAAAAAAATCCATTCAAAATGGGGAGTCATACCACAAAAAACATGAATACCAATGTTCAGAGTTAGGTGCCAGTGAGTTACAGTCAATTAATATGGCCCTTCTAGCCAAGGTTCTTTATGCAATGTATTCTAACTCTGGACTTTATGCCTGTGCCTACAATCCCATATGGAGGGCGTACTCTACTATAGATGTATGGACAGGATTATTAAAAAAATCCTACCCAACACTGCCATCAAGTTGATTTCCACTCATAGGGATCCTCATAGGACATAAGACCCTTATAAAACTGTCCTTGTGGGTTTCTGAGACGGGCTCATTACAGGAGTAGAAAGCCACCTCCTCCAGAGAGGCTGGCGGTTTTGAACCACTGACTTTGTGTTTAGGGTAACTTCCTGTGCTACCCAGCTCCCTTGGGACTAGTCTGGTGTTAATTTTCTAAAAGAAATGATCCCCACGGCCATGAAGAAAAATAAAGCAGGCAGTCTTAAGCTCCACAGGCTCTGGCGAAGCAAAACCAGCGGAGCACATACAAAGCATAAACTTCAGAAAGTTTGTGGGAGAACAGAATTCACAGCTAGTGGGAGCTTTCCAGTCTCTTTAGAGCTTCCTCGAATGTAAATATGTAGGATTGATGTCGAGGAGAGGAGCCTTGGTGGTGTGGTTACGTGTTGGGTTGCAATCCGCCTGGCCAGCAGTTCTAAACCACCAGCAGCTCTGCAGGAGACTGAGCTTTCTACTCCCGTAAACAGTTAGTCTGGGAAACCTACAGGAAGTTGCTGTGAGTGAGCACTGACTCAATACCAGTGAGAGATGTTGTGGTAGCCCCGGCAGACTAGAGAAACAAATCCAGAGAGACATGTGTGTAAGCGAGTTTATAAAGGGTAACTGTACATTAAGAAAGCATCCCAACCCAGTCTAAGCCAAGCCCTTAAGTCCGATATTAGCCCCTATGTTCGATACCAATCTATACAGTCCTCTTCAGACTGATGAAACACATGCAATGATGCCGAATGCAGGATGATCACAGGACAGTGGTAGAAAGTGGATCCAGCGGCATAAGCATCTCAGCGCTGGCAGGGGTCTCTATGTGGCTTCCCCAGGTCCATGGTTCTGGCTGCATCAGGGTAGGTCCATGTGGCTTCTCCTCAGGGATGTCTCCCAGGGAGTAAGCCTTGTGTCTTCAGTAGAGCTTCTCCAAGGGAGTGAAAAGAGAGAGAGAGTGTCTCCTGCCTCCAAGGAGGAAAATACAGGAGTTCCCAGAATTCTCAGGAGAAGGCCATGCCCACACAGGCCTCATTGGCTATGATCTGATTGACAGCCTAAACTCCACCCCTAGACTCTTAATCCTCTAATTGACAATTATATAACTACCACAGATGTCAAGTAAATTATTCACACTATTGTGGAAAGCAGCAAGTCCCAAATGCAAGGGTCAGGCAGCAGGCTGGAGGCTTCTGATTCACGTCGTTGTGGGGGCTGATGAGGCCCAGATCTGCAGATTGGAAGGTAGCCTGAAAGCTTCTTTCGCTCCAAGAACCAGACATTAGTTAAAAAGGCCAAGTCACAATAACTTAGGCTCCCACTTAAAGGGCTTAGAGAAAAAAATTAATAAATAGAAGGAAACAAGAAAGCGATCCATGAAATTGAGAATAGAAAGTAATAAGGAAAAAGTGCTCAGAAAAGCAGCTGAGAACTCTAAGAAGCTGCCCTGAGACTCTTTCAGTTGACAGTCAAAATAAAGCCCACAGCCAACAAGTCAATTCAGATGCACAGCTACCCTGGATAGGGTTTCTGAAGCTGTAAATCTTTACTGCTGAGAAAGTCTCATCTTTCTTCCACAGGCAGCTCGTACGTTCAAACTACTGACCTTGCAGATGGCAACCCAACATGTAACCTACTCCATCACCAGGGCGCCTGACAATCGATCAGGAAGGAGCAACCCCCTCCCAGCAACCCAGAACAGCAACAAGAAACCCTGCCAAACCCAGTTCTGGTGTGATTCCAACTCATAACCTTATCCAGGGTTTCCAAACTTTATGTGAAGAGATAGCCTCATTTTTCTTCCTCAGTGTGGCTGATGGGTTTGAACTTCCAACCTTGCAGTTAGAGGTCACTTACTCAACAGTGCCACCAGGGTTCCTTGGAAGGGCAATACTCACTGCCATCTAGTGGATGCCGACTCATAGCGACTCTGTAGGACAGGGTAGAACTACTTGTGAGTTTCCGAAACTGTAAAACCCCATCTTTCTCTCATGGAGTGGCTGCTGGTTTCAAACTGCTGATCTTGCAGATCAAAGCCCAGTGAGTAACCAATAATGGTCAATAATCCTAGGAAGAGGACTCTTTGTTCTGTAGGCCTTATGGTTCCCTGGTAGGGATACTGGTAAATGGTAGGCAGAGGGACAGCAAATGAAGAGAGTATACAATCCTGCTGGAGGGCACTGGATGTAGAGAATTCAAGCTGTGAGTGACTAGCTTCTCTTAGGTAATTTTGGGGGGCTTCTGAAAGAGATTGAAGTTACTATGAGCAAGAAATAGGCACAGGGATGAATGAAGTTGATTATTTTAAAATTTTAGTCTTTGTTGCTCTTTTTGGAAAGGGGGCAATTGTTTTGGGGAAAGGAACTGGATGGCTGAGGGACAGATGGGGGAGGCGGGCAGACTTAAGGCTGCGATGCCTTTGAGGTTTGTGCTATGCTCACGGATTAGCGACTCACATGGATACCTTTAAGATGTTACATCAACCGATGGCCAGACTTTCCATAAACCTGTCTCATAAAGCGTTTTACTCAGGTTTTGGCTTAAAGGGTTTGAATGTCGAGCTGTCCACTTCTCAGCGTGGCCATGACTTCCCGGCGTTCCTGGCATAAAGGTGGCCCTTAAAACTATGGGCGAAGTAGAGTGGAAATGCACTCGGTGGGAATCGGACACTTGGGTTCTCTTTCTGAGTTTCACCAACAAACTAATTGTGACCTTGCACAAGTTCTTTCACCTGTTTTCCTGGGAGTACTTTTTTTTTTTTTTTTAACATTTTATTAGGGGCTCATACAACTGTTATCCCAATCCATACACACATCAATTGTGTAAAGCGCATTTGTACATTGTTGGGAGTACTTTCTTATAGGTCAAGCAAAGAAGTTGATATCTAAGTCCTTGGCAGTTTTAAGTTTTCATAGTTCCTGCTTCCCCCACTCCAGTTAGAGAGGGGTGCCTTCTTCAGGACAAGTGCTGAGCAAACAATTGGCCATTGGTTGGAGCCTAGGAAGGGGCCCAAGGACAGCGAGGAGCAAGCACCCCCGTCGTCCGCCATCCGCTCTTGAGCACACAGCCCCGGGGACGTGAGCGCAGGGGTTTGCAAGAGGACCTCCTTCCCGGGCTAGTGAGGTCCCTCCCCAGCCCCCCAACCCCCCAGCC